TCAAAATGGCCCAAAGGCCCTACATGATATGGTCTTTAGGCTTAAAAGCCTGAATATATGAGCCCTTGGAGCCTTAAGGTTAGAGTGAGGTGTTCGTGGTGTTTTTTTTTGTTTTTTGTTCAGAGCTTTGAGGTTTGTGGTTGAGGACTTTATGGTTCGAGAGTGTGGGCTTGCACGTTTTAGAGGTACTGTACACCAACTTAAGCTTCGTCGGTTGCACTTTGGGGTCATAGCTTCATGAGGTGTGCAAGGCTTGATGTGGCACTTCCTCACGCCAGAGATGATGTTTTTCAGGTTTCTGTAATAGGCATGTTTGTCTGAAGCGAAGTCATAGACACTTTACTGATGGTTATACCGGTCGGAGCAATTGTCGCTGTGGTCCTCATGGTTCCGTACTCACCAGCGGCACCAGCGCTTGCTATGCAGTGGGCGGCGGCAGACGTAGGCTACGTCTGCTGCCGCCCACTGCATATAGTAGCATGGGCTGCAGGTATTGTGCGTGCTGCTTGCGCAGAAACTTCGTCAGCAGGGGTGGGAGTGGCCCGGTTTCATCGACGCCAGACAGGTCGCGTATTGTCATTGCCTGACGGCGTGGCTCAATTGGCAATTCCCAGCTCGCACTTGCCGGGAGCTGCATTTGGGCGCGACCTCGTTGTCTCGGATAGCGGCATCGAGTGTTTCCGGGCCGACTGGCTGAGCTTTCTCGCAGCCCATGCTCCAGCTGCGATGGTTGTTGCGATGACTTTTCTGCCAGCCGTCGCGGCGTCACGACTTTGGAAGATCGCGGATCTAGCTCCCCAGACCTTCCAAAATCCTTTAATTGAGGAATATACCGTAATATACCTTAAATTATATAGTAAGGTCCCTAATATGATTTAAGGTATATTCCTTAATTAAGGGATTTTGGAAGGTCTGGGTCCACAACGTTCAACGAGACTAGGCTTGTTGAATTGCGGGTCCTGGGTTTAGGATGCTAGGGCTGATCGAAGCCCGGTTTGAGGAAAATTCTGGAAAGTGCCCGAGGTCTGCAATCCTCAGCGAAACTACGGTTGAGGGTTTCGTGCTTTTGGGGTGCAGGGTTTTGGGATTTAGGGGTTTAGGGTTTTGGCATGAAAGGGTCGAGGGTTTCATCACCCGGCCTCTTAACTCCTTGGGACTTAGTACCGAGACACGCAATGTTGAGGCCGACTGGAACCAGATTCGTATGATTTCTGCTTTCGGTACAGTCAGAACTGCATGAATCAATACCAGATTCGTGCGTTGCTCCACAACCGCGAAAACACGCCAAGCAAAGAGTCACCTCCCACGTCCTGATCTACAAATCACACGCTGCACCCCCCCCCCCACCCCTACCCTACTACATCCTCAACCCTAAACCACGCAAAAACCCTAATCCCGAAACCCTACAAAAGCCCGAAAAAAACTCAATGTAGGAACCTGATTAAGAAACCCTGGGCCTACGACCCCAAAACAGAAGGATTCATAAACGCAGCCCGAATAAAGGCCCAAGGTTTCTGAATCAGGTTCCTACATTATTTAAACTTTACCAAAACCCTAAGGTTGAAAGTCCCAAGATAAGCCACCCAGTGGCCCAGAAACCCTGCAGGTGGCCTCACACCCGGCTGGGTGCCTGGGGGGCCCTTCTTCGAAGAGATCTACGCATTCCAAGGCCTTCCTGAAGCGCTTCTATGGGGTTATAAACAAGGGGCCTTGATATTTAGGGCTTCGGGTATTTAGGGTCTAGTGTTCCGGGTTTACGGATTTGGGATTAGGGTTTAAGGTAGGGTTTTCGAAAGAGGTGTCAAGAACGGGCCACTGTCTGGAAGCACAAGGAACAAAGACCTGCCGTTTAAAGTTCCAAGGTCAAAGGTTTAACTTGAAGGTGAAGAGCGGGGTGAGTTGGGAGTTTCCGAAAATTAAGGGTACCTCATTCTGGGGGTCCTTATAATAAGGATCCTACTATTTGTATTAGAGTCCCCTTGTTTTCGGAACTCCTATTTAGGGCTGTGATCATACCTGTGGCGTCATATTGGGCCTGAAGTTTAGCGACCCCCCGCCCAAAGGCCCTAATCCAAGGATCGCAGTTTGGGGTTTTGGTGGCCAGGGTTTTCGGAGTCTCTACATCGGTTGTAGGATGGGTCGCCTACTGGGCCCTGCACCAACCCAGGAAATAGCCCCCAAAGCTCAGGGTGCCAGACCGTCCATCTGTACGACTAAGAGCCCTTTTGTGGCGTCCCTATGTAACTATACCTCAATACAGTATAAAGTACTCCGAAACCTTGTTCTTATCATTATGGCCTCTATCTTTCGCCATTCGGGAGCTAGACATGCGATGACTTGGGCTTCTTAGAGAGATCGACGATTTTCTACACCCAAAAGCCCTGAGGTTCTAGTTATTCCGGCCCGCATTCTCGCTTCGAGAAGAGGTGATGTCTATTCAGAGACGGCTCCGAGCTTCATGATGGAGATCTTGGATACCCCCTGCGAGATGACCATGGAGGTGGGATGTAGGGTTGAGGCTTAGTAGCTGAGTGGATACACTTTACACTTTTTTGACTTTTTTGGGATAATTACCCACCGTAAAACTGAAAGTCTGCACTTTTGGGGGCTTATGAACTCAGCAACTAAGGAGGGTTCAGGGGGGCGCATGGCAGTTTAGGCGGGCTCAGGAATTATCGGGCTTCGGTTTGGGAGCCAGTCGCCTCTGGGCTTCAGGGTTTAGGGTTTAGGGTGGTTTAGGCTTTGGGGTTTAGGGTTCAGGGTTTAGGGTTTAGGGTTTAGGGTTCGGAGGTGATTTCGGCCGGTTGTTTGTGGGGAGATGACCAGGTGCGCAATCTGATGCCGATGAACATCCAAGTCGTAAGGGTCAGGATCTAACTGCTCAGGTGGTTCTGCAACGCCTTCGCTAGAGGTTCCTGGCCCATTCACTCTAAACCCCCATAGCCGACCCGAAAGCATTTCAGCTCTCGTGGGCGGTCGTGTTTTTGGTTTAGGGCTTAGGGGTATCGCGTTTTTTTTCGTAACGTCGAGTTGCTTTGCGGCCCCGACCCAGACCCCGGAAACTAGGAATCTTTACCCCGATGCGGCTTCCCTAGACACCAAATCCTGAACCCCTAGAAGCCCTAAACACTGAACATATATAAACCCTAGACCCCTGAGCCCTAGAGCTTAAGCCCTGAACTCAAAACCTTAAACCTTAAACCCTACCTAGAAACTCTCAAAACCCAAACCCAAAGAGGCTCCAAGGAGGCCCACTGCCCCTAAACCAGAGTCGGAAGCCTTCAAGAGAGTCTTAGGGTTCTATTATTTTTTGTTTTGGGGTTTAGGGTTTAGGGAGTCTTAGGGTTCTATTTTTTGTTGTTTTGGGGTTTAGGTCAGAGATCTCGAATCGCATGCTAGCTCAGGCAACGTGTTTCTAACGGAAATGCGTGCTGGCTCGTTGAGTTGTTTTCGCATACATTGCTACATTGGTTGGCATGAGAAACACTGACAGATCAGAGGCATCCGACTTCAAGAGGCAAAATCAGAGGCATTTCACAGCAGCTTCACATCCTACATTTCAGACGGACAGATCATTGGGCAGACATAGCATCCATTCATTGCATTTTGCAATGTTCTCCTCGGCCTTCGAAAAGCGAGCGGAGAAGGTCGCTCCGTGGCTCTTGGATGAGGGCTTCTTCGTCCCGGGATCGAGCTGCATGAGGAGGGAAAGGTTCATCCATGCTTTGGACTACTCCTCTTCGAGCTTGTGTCGGGCGCTTGAGTCGGTGCTCTGCTGAGTTTGTTGCTGTATGACAGTTCATTAAATGCTTGGGGTCGCTAATATTCGCGGTTCGCACTCCATTCGTCCGCCCAGGAGAACATTTCGTGTGCACAGCTCTCTGAAACGAGAGCCGGCGAGGGGCTTTGCACCCAGGAAGGCCAGGATCTTTGCCTCCCGCTTGCAAATCTTGAGGTTTCAGGTCGTTTGTGGGCTGTTTGTTCTGTCTCACTGAAACATTAGATCCTTGGGAATTCTCTGAGGTTTGCAGATGTGCACACGAGTCTTCCCGGGCGGCCTTTTCTACTGCATGTGCCTCGATGCATTATCGGATCTCGCAGGGTCGCTTCGGAAACCATTCACGGTATTTCTTCTCTGAGGCCTTTCCGCTCCAGAGAAGAACGAGGATCGATGCCAGAGCTGGTCGATTCTTTGCTCCATGTTGGCCAATACCGTTCATGTTTGTTTTGTGTTTTGTGTTTTCTTTACTCAGCTGAGGGCTTCCTCAGCGAACTGCTAAAGCTTTGCTACACGATGAAAGTGCGAGTCATCCTGCATTTGAAGTACGATCGCTTCTGTGAGCTGCAGCAGCACAACTGCTTCAAGGACAGAGCTACTGCACACTCGTACATATCTCTAAGAGTTGGTTTGAATCACGGGCGATTTCATTCAGGAGGTTGCAAAGCAGCTATCCTTTGAGACATCGATATTCACGATGTCCTCTTTTGGAGCCACGAAGCAGCTGCTTGGTTTGCAGTGGTTGGGTTGGAGTTTGAGGTCTTTCCTGTGGCATTCGTGCCACACATTACGGATTGATTCGATATCCCAGGACACCGACTGTTCTATGCGGAACTGACAAGCTTGTCATCAATGGTGCAAAGCACATGGCGAGGAACCTGGGGCCACTGCTGCCCGATTGCATAATTGAAGCCCCGCTTGAAATCAGTGTTGTACTTTCTTGATGTTCCGCTTTCCTCAGGTTCACGGCACGAAGCCACCGGCGAGTGAATGCTGCATTTCCATATCGACGCCACACCACCGACGAGATCACGGGCACTTATGTTTATGGAGCCACTAGCCTTTATGTCTGCTCGCCTTAGCATGTCTGCAGCTGTCCAGTGGCTTGTGCTTTGGGGTTGGTGCCTGGATGATGCAATGCACTGGGTGTGTGATGAGGTCGTGGAGGTGATTCTGCTCCGACATCGACGGACTGTCAACGAGCTGCTGACTGCGAACATTCCGCGGATGTTCGACAGGATTGCTCATGATATGATTGAGCAGGCCCGGAACAAGACAGGAGTGTTTGCACAAGGCCGCTCTAAGGAATGTTCCTGATTCGCCCATTTTTCTGAGGACATCGACTCCTGCTTCGTGGTCACCGAGATTGGACAAGTGCTGTTCAAATCCCCGCGGGTGGAGATGAACTTCGAGGCCGAGTTCATTTTAATTCCGCATATGAGACATCCCTTGACCCATTGATTCAGAGATAAAAACCTTGCTCATCTCAGCCTCGTCAGGAGGGCGATCTGTTTGTGACCCGACCGATTGCTCCGATGCCAGTGCCAGTGGTGCCACGCCTGCACACATCCTTCGATGCCACTGTGAATTTACCATTCTGTGCTTTGCTGAATAATATCAAAACTTGTCCGAAGGCTACAGCACCTACGGCGCCAACGGCGACTGCTGCAGTCACGAGCGGCGAGGCCGGGGTTGTGGAAGTTGAGTGCTTCAGAGCTTGGAAGATGTACGTTTCCTTTGAGTTGGGTGCATCAGTTTTCACATTGTCTTTGACTCCGTGGTCCTGTATCATTGCATTTCGCTCGCAGGGATGGGAGCTCCTCGTCTAGATGGCGGCATCAAGCAACGATATGGCGATGCAAAGATCCGGAGGATTTTGACTTCATCTCGTTGGTTACAACGGATCTAGATTTGTGCCTTGGACATCAAGGAGCTGGCTCCCAATGTGTAGCGAATCCGAGCCACTTTTTCAGCCCGCTTCAGCTTCGGTCTCAGGTGCCCTATGTTTGTGATTTGCAATCGATGAGTTATTTGGGCCGGCTTTGCCACCACGACTATTCTGATCGAAACTTGGCTATCGGGGGGTTGCAACTTGGTTCAGCAAGGGTTCCCTGGGCTGCAAGTGCTGACTGTGTTGTGGTGGCAATCCGGTAAGCTTCGCTGCCCTTCCCTGGCTAACTACTTCTCAAAGAGGGTTCTCAACTACTTAGCATAGAGCAACAGCAAGCCAAAGCTTCCATTGTATCCGCAAAAGGGGCTGGGGTGCAAATAGGAAATTCGATGCACCGGGTTCGGGCTGCTGCTTTTTGGGTCAACAGTCCAGGACTAAAGTATCCTATAGGAGCCTAAGTCCTAAGAGTTCAGACGGACCGACTCAGCAGCAAAGCCCTGGCTTCTCGGCAGCGGCGGCGAGCCGCTGGATCAGCAAGTTCCTGGGGTCGCGGGCAAACAGAGCACGCAGTTGCTTGACATGTGTTCTTGCAGATAGATTGAAGCCTGAAGCTGTGCTGATCACCGTTTGTCGTCCTGAGTGTTTTGCTCGACGGCAGTGACAGACGGTTGCTGCCTTGACTTGTGTGCCCCGGCTGTGTTTCGGGGCATCGCTTGCAGTGCCATGCCGAAGCCGGATGCGAAGAACATCCGAAGGACGGTGCTGCTTCTGTGATCTGGGTTTTCGTTTCAAAGTTTGGGGTCACAGGCCGGAGGCACGAGATGGGGGCATCCATTCAGAGAGCACACAAGACAATTAGATTACTCTCTCGATCAGAGGTAGGACTCATGGAGTAATAAACACCCATCCCATTGGAACCCCGCTCGTTGCCACTACAACAGACAAGCGCTTTTTGATCTGACCCTGGATTTCTTTAGTTGGTCAGGCTTGGGGTTTGAGGGATCGTGATATGGATCAGGGTTTTGCCGGCCCACTTGAAATAGCTGCATTACATCAATCAAATCATTCACACCAACAGCCTCGAGCTCAATTTGCTACCCGCACAACCTGACGCTGAACATTGAATGGGTTATAACAGTTTCCGAACCCAACCTAGGGACTAAATTGTTTTGCTTGGACCATTGGACTTGACTTCTACTCGTCCGGGGTGCTGCAGTGCATTCGGTGGCGATAGCAGATCATTGCTTCACTACTGATTGCACAATAATCTTTTTAATTAAAGATGGAAGCCCAACCTTCAGTCCTGAACCCTAAAGCCAGCAGCCAGCCAGCTTCGCTACAACCCAATCGCTCGTGTGGCCAGGACTCTGTCCGTGAAGAGCATGGCATCCATCGCTGGAGAGGCAGAGGAGGAAGCAGAGCCGGACGCCAGGAGGTTCCTGCTTGGGACGGCGAAGCGGAGTTTGGACGAGGCTTTCGGAATCTCGGTGCCATGTAGATTCTAGACTAGAGGGTGTTCTCGGACATTAGTCGCGGGTTTTGTTGCTGGCTGTTGGGAAGCATGGGGATCTGACTTGTCCTGCTAGCACTGAAGCACACACCTGCACACGCATACCCACATACGCACACCCACATATACACACAATAGGTTTGTTTATTGCATTTATGCAGACACAAAAACAAAACGGGATGTAGCATGGTTAGCATAAAAGCTGTGACACCCATGAATTATCTAGTTTACACCATATGGATACCATACCGTATCATACCACTGTCATATCATACTGTTCTGGGTGGGTGGTTTTGGCTGGGTGGTTCTGGGAGAGAGCGA